CTCCCGCCACGCGGATAAAACGCTAAAATGGTTCGGCTTGATACACCACCGGCTGAAAGCGAGGCTCTCGTCGTCTGCTGAACACTCGCAGCCCTGCCCTCGCCGCCACTTCCGCACGCCCTTGCGCCTGGCCCGGGGGCACCGAGGGCGCGGCCGCCCTCAGCCTGCACCAAGACACTCGCTTTGTCACAGGCGGGCTCGCCTGCCCCGCCTGCTGCTCCTGCCCTCGATATTAATGCACAATGCATGCAGGTGGTTACTTATATAGTGTGTGCGTATGATTATAGATTTATACACTTGTGTGATGTGTATGTCTGTATGAGTACGTGTGATGGTGCTTGTGTGTCCCCGTTATAAAAACGGGATGGACGTGTTTGGAAACTTTTATCTTTGAAACGAAAATGGATGCTGACTTGGCTCCTTTTGCAGTAGGGAAGCTTCTGCCAGGTGTGTGCGAAAAAGATAACTTTTTTGCGATCGCTCAGGACGCCAAGGAGGAGGGAAATCACACAACACACACACACACACACACACACACACACACACACACACACATATATATATATATATATATATATATATATATATATATATATATATATATGCATATATTACATATTATATATATAATGTGTGTGCGTCTGTGGAAGTTGAGAGTGTGTGTGTGTTTGTGTTTGCGCGGGCGCGCGTATTTTGCTCTTCCTTTAGCCACTAGAGCCTCGTCCGGGAGAGCAGGGTTGGTATTGGTGTGGACACGTGTATATTGCTCTGTTCTGGATTTGTTCTAGACGCGGCCTCGGCGATAGAGCGCCACTGATTTTCGGGGACTGAAGTGCATAATGATCCCGCGATGCCGTTCATAGATTTGTACCAGAAAGAGAGAAAAAAATAGATGTGTCAGCAGGCCAGACCCCGCTCAGGTTTGCTCGGAAAATGCTATGCTTTGAAGGTGCGGTATCGAGTGGGGGTCAAACTTCAGCTTAAGAGGACGAGCTTCACGGGCGTCGGGGGGAGGGAGGGGGCTGGGGGGTCGAACACTCAGAAGTGGACACAGAAGGCGGCGCGCTGGCGTGCATTAACTGAGATGATTTTGACTCTGGCTCCCCCTCCTCCTTCCAGGCCCTCCTTTGCCCCTCCCCCCCTTTCCCCATTCTCGTATGCGTAGGGGACGGCCTCATCCATATTATACATACACATTCAACTGCGCTTGTACACTCAGTCATTCACTCGCTCGCCACTCATCGCCCGCCCTTACACGTGCTCAGGGCCTCACCCCCCGCAGGCGAAGGAGGCGCTGCGACGGGGAGGCAGCAGGCGGGGGTCAGCGGACGGGGTCATGAGCGGGTCAGCGGTGCGTCGTCGCCTCCCGGCCCTCATTCGCCGTCGGGCGGGCTGGCAGGTCTGGCTCAGAGCTCGGGGCTGATGAGACCGGGATGGGGCTGGCGGGGGGAAGAAAGGAGGCGCCGACGGGGATAGGCCTTGGCTCGTGCTCAGTGGTCACCCTCGGGCTGAGGGAGGACGCCGTGGACGCACGTGGGTGCTCGACGCGTCCCTTGAAGGAGGGGAGCCGATTAGGGCGGAGTCGATGGCCATCCAAGAGTCATGAGAGGGCGGGGGACCCTTTGCCTCGCTCCGCTGGCTTGGATTTTGCAACGACGACTGGATTGGCGGGGGCTGGCCAAAGAAATCGCGTGTGCCCGCCGGCCTGCATGCGTGGCTCGCCTCGGGTGCCCGGCCAGGGGTTGCTGCACACTGTACGAAGTAGCTGTCACCGTCACCTCTTGGCAGTGGTCTCCACTTGGCGTAGGCTTTGGGTGCAGTAAGCATTTGACAGAAACACCCTCGACCCGATAAGCATTTCTTCCTGCATGCGCCTGCTTGTACCTGCCTGCCTGCCAGCATTTCTTCCTGCAGAGGCTATTATCATTCAGCATTTGAAGGGTTGGAAATAGCCATTTTGCATCCATGCATGCGCAGGGCATCGCATGGGGGTTCTTCGGGAGAATGAGGCGGTGATGACGTGGCAGGACGCCGGCAGGATGGCCGTAGTGAGGGAATATGGAAGGATGACGGCAGCTTCGGTGGAAGTGGCAGGGGAGGCGCCCGGCAAGAGTGGCTGGTGCATACATACAACCACGCACACACGCACACACACGCGCGCGCGGTGGCCATACGCTCCCCACCTCCTCCTGCACGCTGCCCATATCTTTTTACCAAGTCCAATATATCCGCGCAGGGAGGGGGACGTTCAGACTACACACTGCTGCTTCTGGGGCGATGGTGATGGTAGTCACAGGGCGGGAGTGGCATGGGAATGGTACGCCGGCGGTTCCTGGTAGAGAGAGGGGGCTCGCCATGGTAGTTAGGGCAAGGCGGGCGGTCGGGCGGTGCGGGAGAGGCCGTTCTGTGCGTCGGGTTGTGTTGCATTGGTAGCTATGATGCAGTTATGATGCAGTCGGTATTCGAGGCTGTAGAGGTGGCCGTAGGGCGAGGGAGTTCGGTGGTAGGAAGGGCGGCGCGGACCTAAGAACTCATTTAGTAAATTAGCCACAAGGGGAAGGGTTGGCGTCCCGGATGAAGGATGGTTGGGCCGTCCCCCCTCGCCGCCCCCCCCCTCCCCAGACACACTCGCACTCACTCACTCACTCACCCAGACACACTCACTCACTCACCCGGACACACTCACTCACCCAGACACTCATTCACTCACCCAGACACACACTCACTCACCCAGACACACACTCACTCACCCAGACATACACTCACTCACCCACACGCTCACTCACCCACACACACACTCACTCACTCACTCACCCAGATACACTCACTCACTCACCCACACACACTCATTCACTCACTCACCCAGACACACTCACTCACTCACCCATCCAAACACACACTCACCCATCCAGACACACACTCACCCATCCAGACACACACACACTCACCCATCCAGACACACACACACACACCACACACACACTCACCATCCAGACACACACACACTCACCCATCCACACACACACACTCACCCATCCAGACACACACACACTCACCCATCCACACACACTCACTCACTCACCCATCCAGACACACACTCACTCACTCACCCATCCAGACACACACTCACTCACTCACCCATCCAGACACACACTCACTCACTCACCCATCCACACACTCACTCACTCACCCATCCAGACACACACTCACTCACTCACCCATCCAACACACACTCACTCACTCACCCATCCAGACACACACTCACACTCACCCATCCAGACACACACTCACTCACCCATCCAGACACACACTCACTCACTCACCCATCCAGACACACACTCACTCACTCACCCATCCAGACACACACATACACTCATTCACCCATCCATCCACACAAGCACTCACCCAGACACACACACTCACTCACAATTAACTCCATCTCTCTCTCTCTCTCTCTCTCTCTCTCTCTCTCTCTCTCTCTCTCTCTCTCTCTCTCTCTCTCTCTCTCTCTCTCTCTCTCTCTCTCTCTCTCTCCCCTTTTCCCTCTTTCACTCTTTCCCATTCCCTCTGTTCCTTTCTCTCCCTCTTCCCCCCTCCCATCCCCCCAAACCTCTCTCTTTCTTTCTTTTTCTTCCTCTTTCTATTTCTCTCTCTTGCTCTCCTTCCAAACACATCTTTAAACCATGCAACAGACCAAAGGACATGTAAACCGAGCGCCTCAGGCCTTCCGGCCGAAGAAGGCGCTGCTGGTCTCAAGTGCCATGGGCGCGCGAGTTACAAGGGGGAAAGGGGAGGGGAGACAACAAAAGTCACGCCGCCGCTGAGGTTGTGCAGCAGCTGAGTCGTGTGCAACCAGCTGCATTCCGCCCCCGCCCGTGCACCGCCCTTTCTCCTGAAGCTGCGGAAGGAAGCTGAGGACCATAGTTGTCGCCATTACCGCAAGCCATGCGAAGCGAAGATAAGAGCCTAGATTTTAGATTAAGATGTCTGTAACGTGATTATTGAACCATAGGAACGTCTGCGCTTCCGTTAAATTTTGCCAATCTATTACTTGTATTACAACTTTGTATAAAATCTTACATCATGGTATACAGGTAAACATTGATGACTAACTCAAATCAACGCCGAAGTCATGGCTTTAGCGTCGCATTCGAATCATTTGCGGTAATGGTGATGGTTGCTGTGGACTCGAGAGACGATGGGGGTGGGAGTGCGGGGTGGCCCGGGTAATGCACCTTTTAACCCAACCAAAGCGCGCATAGGCCTACAGGAGTGGCAGGCAGATGCGCATGTGTTTGGTAGAGGTCTTTAAGAGGTCTAGAGTCGGGGCACTAGACGCCAGGGTCTGTCTCTCGGGCGCTCTGACCTTCCGTGAATGTTTTCCTGCGGGAGATGGCTGGGATGAAGGGGTGGTTGTTGGTTGGCCTTACTCCCTGGGATTGAGTTGTGTGTCTGTTAGGTGTCCGTGAAATAAAGGCTGTGTATTGATAATCTGGCTTGACACACGCCTATGCTTGCCCTGTCTGCATCATGCCCACGTTCAGTATTGCGGGAACATCGTGATGCTGAGAAGAATCGGGCGCCTCGCATCATGGCTCTGTCGGGCTCAGAGTGCAGCGACGCCTGGATCTGCATGCCAAGGCCAAGCAGATAAGCAGGGCGCTGTTGATGTTACGGACCGTGTTTCGAAGGCTGCCTGCTGATGAGCGGAGCCCCGGCCCGGCGCCGCAGGTATCAGCCGGAAAGGGGAGCCGCAGCTGGACATTGGGCACTGTTTAATATGTAATCGGGCGTGGTGCGCCACATAAAGGTATTGTACCGGGCGGGAGCGTCGGAGGGCCAGGGCCGTGGTGCCACGGTGGTTGATGGCGTGCCATCCACCGTGGGTCTTGGCCTCCGCGTTTTTATCGCCGCGCCGCAATGAAATGAGAATGACCGTGCGGGAAATGATCGCGGGCACATATGTGCTCCCCTCGGCTGACTTATGGCTTTCATTTCAAAGTAATGAATGTTTTTTTTTTCTCGTTGCAGGTGAGTGTCGGAGTTAAGCCGTGTGTTAAGTTGGTTGCCGGCATGGCGCTTCCCTCCGCAGCCGTCTAGCCGCCGTCACGCAGCTGGTCAAGGTGAGTCAAACGGCGAGGCGAGAGTGGGTGCAGTGAGTAAGCCCATGGCGACCACGTCCCTCGCAGGGCCATGGGGCAAGTTAGTGAGCTGGGGGCGGTGAGGATATGCGGGGAGGGGGAGTATTGTGTGGGCAGTGAGTAGCGAGTGATGATAAGAGTGAGTGAAAGGGTGAATGCTAAGGCGGAAAGGCAAGTGCGAGGCGAGCGAGTGGCTGCCCCAGATGGGTGAGCGACGAGTGAGTGCATGCGGTGAATACCAAGCGAATAGACGACATGGTGTGGGTGCGGCGGTGGTGAGTTACAGGACACATGGTGTGGGCAGTGAGTCAGAGTGGAGACACGTCACCGACGCCGAATGGGCTTACGGCGTCACCGCGCGCGCGCAGCACACACACACACACACACACACACACACACACACACACACACACACACACACACACACACACACACACACACACACACACACACACACACACACACACACACACACAGATTTATTGATCTATATCTATCTATCTATTTTATCTCTCTCTCTCTATATATATATATATATATATATATATATATATATATATATATATATATATATATATATTATATAGATAGATAGATAGATATTTAATATATATGCATGCACTTGCATTCTGTTTGTTGAGTTTGTGCGTGTGATGCGCCGTCGGCCGAGCGGCGACGTGTGACGCGGGCGTGACGCGGAGGCGAGCAGTGTGCAATGCACTCGAGGGCGTGAGCGGGCCTGGCACCGCGCGTGGAGGGGTCGCTGACACGCCGCCGCCGTTAACGACTTGCTCTATTCTTAGTCGGTGCTTGTATCGCCGCTCCGCCCAGCCGCCCGCCTCCCCCGCCCGCGCCACCGATGCTGGAAGAAGCGCTGCTGCCCGACGCGAGGGCGGCGTGCAAGGAGGGGAGGCGGTAATGAGGTAATGACACGGGCGGTGAGCGATGAGGGAGGCTGGCGGCGCGAGGGCGGCCGCGCCCGGCGATGCGGACACACGCGGCGATGACAAAGGACGGTCGCGGCGAAAAAAAATCTGGGCGGCGCGCAAGACCGGAGCGTCAGGGGGGAGGGAGCGGGGAAGGGGGCTGATGGTAGTTGTAGTCATGAGGGGAGGGAGGGGAAAGAACGCGAAGAGCGAGGCAAGCGGAATGTGCGGCCGACGGGAATGGAGGTCGCGTCGAGCCGACAGAAACGGCAGGAATCGGGGTTAATGGGAAGGCGTCGTCTCCTGGAGGCGTCATTGTGCGCATAATGGTCGCCATGGCGCGGGGCATTCGCGGGGTGCACCGATCCCAGCTGCGGCCAAATAAGAGCGCCCGCCATGAGGCAAGACCGCTTTGCCACTGATGCCGCGAAGATTGCACATCTATTTTTCAGCAAGAAGGTAACACGATACGGCTTAGCCTGAAGGTCGAATGCTCCATAGATCGTGTCCATTTCTGCTCTGGCAACTATGTAAATAATGAGTGAACATAATGGGGTTTGTGCTTTGGAAAGTTGAAAAGAGAGCACGATGATCAGTGGCGGGTGTGAGCCGGGGACATCCTGTCCTGACTCGGTGCAGGGGCCGCGGGTAACGAGTATTACAGGAGATCTCCCTTATCGGGCAGGGCGGGCGGGCGGGCGCCGCGCTGCCCGTTTGTGCGTCGCGCCTTCCTTTGTCATCGCAGCGAACACAAGCTTGCCAATGAGAACTCGTAGATATGGACACATTTATAGAGATATACATGGATATACATATATATTTATGCATTTTCCATTTGCAGTCACGATTTTTTAATATGGCCAAATGTGGCCGAGTGAATGTGTTCGTTTTCCGCGGGTCGTCCGAGAGGCGACGCGGGGAATTTGAATGCGCGCGCGCGGCTCCTTCGCACGAGCTGCGCGGCGGGAAGGGCGGTTCGCCGGCGCTGTTGGGAGGGGATTTTTTTTCCGCTCATGTTGACAGTTAACAAAAAATGGCAGGCGAGTCGCGGCCGCCTTCCAGCAGGAATTTCCTCCCGGGAAGCCGCCATGTGAGAGCCGCCAGCTGTCCGCGGCCCGCGTGCTGTGCGGCCGCGTTAGTCCTTGATAATGTGGGTTGCGGCCGCGGGAGGAGCGGGCATCGGCTATTTTATTGCCCGCGCTCGTTACCTTTACAACAATATCTTTAGTTACCTGGAGTTGGTTATAGAAGTTCAGCGGAGTTATGGAAGAAAATTGCTCAATAAATAGCAGCGAGCGCATGCTAGCACGACGAGATGTGAACCGCGATTAAATGCTAGTCCGCTGCTGTGTGTTTGTCGCGGAATGGCGGCGGGAGGGCTTATGGCTGTTGTCGAGCGCCGTCATAAATGCAGCATAAGGTCATAAATGGACGAGGTCATAAACACAGGGTCAGGTCATAAATGGCAGCAACTGGCCAGCGGCGGCCGTGTCGAATCAGCGAATCTGAGCGCCCGCGGATTTCCCTCGCCGCCGCGACCGCTTACGGAGTGGTGGAGGAGCCCCGGTGGATCACACCATGGCAGTGGGCGTGGCGGAGCAATGGTAGATCGATGGTACAGATAATGGTCATGGTAGCAGAGTGGAGCCAGCGGTGGCATGGAGATAACCCCGAACAGGATCCGAAGTGACCCGAAATAGATGGAGGGGAAAGAGCGGACTCGACGTCGTCAGCGGGTGGCTACGGCGGGGAAAAGAAACCTAAAATTGATTCCCTGCTTGTTACGAAGGGGAAGGCTGGACGTGCGAGGGGAAGGCTGACCAGAAGCGATACGAGGGAAGGACTGGGAGGCGGTGAAGAGGAAGTTCAATCGGGGAGCGCAGCGCTGAGAGGAGCGGAGAGGGGAAGAAGTAGAGAAGGTAGAAAATGTCCAGAGGAAATCGCGAGAGCGGATGTGATTAAACGCAGAGCAGAGGGCAAGGGAGGAGGAGGAGGAACCAGAGCCAGATTCGCGGAACACGAGATGAGGACAGAGACGTTAGACAGGACACGGGCGGCGCTGGGGGCGACGCTGAAGGAGAACAACGCAGGAGCTTTCTTGGGCGCCGGCGTGGCGAAAGTGGATTAGAAAAAGTCGGAGGAAAAATCCGGGAAGACGCGAGCATATAATCCAGGCGTGGATAAGGCCGGCAGAACGAGGTAGTGAGGGGTAAATACCTTGGCAGTGATACAAATACAAGGAGGGGAAAGTCATATATGATGGATAAATATAAAAAGCGGGGAAGGGTAAGGGGACGGGAGCTTTAGAGATGAAGGCGAGGGCGAGGGTAGCAGGGAAGTGAGCGAGGGGCGGCGCTGGAGCCCTCCTGGCAGGCCGGGATGGGAGCCGCGGGAAAGGCAGGGCGGGCTAGGCAGCGGGATGCAGAGGGAGGCCGGGGTGGGGACTGGGGTGCGGAGGGAGGCCGGAAAGTGACCGAGGGAGAGAGGGAGGCCTGGAAAGTGACCGAGGGAGAGAGGGAGGCCGGGAAAGTGACAGAGGGAGAGAGGGAGGCCGAGGAAGCGATGGTGAAAACCAGGATAGCAAATTCGATAAAGTTTAAGGGATAGTGAAAAGGTCAGATTCGGCTGGACAGTGAACAGGTCCTATGGAGTAGAGTGAAGGGAGTAGCAGTAAGAAACAGTGAATGGTTCCGGCCACCTCGTCCTCGCCGTTCGAGAAGGAAGCGGTTCGCCGGGTTCAGGATGGGCGTCTGGGCGGCCTCGTGGACGGCTGTGGGTTACGTGTTTGTTGGCTGCGTTGTGCTCGGGGAGTGAGTGGTGCTGGGAAGGATGCTGCGGCGGAGGGCAGCGTGGCCGCAGAGAAAGTCCTGAGGGAAGAGTTTGGACGTGAGAGCGGCGGGGTTATGACGCCCCTGGCCGGGCCCGCCGCCCCACCTGCCGGGCCCGACGCTGGTCACGGCACGGCTTTAGTGCGTGCGGCGGAGGGGAGGAAAGGGCCGGAGGGCGCCGCGCGCCAGGGACGGAGCGGGAACGACAGCAGTTGCGTTCGGGTGCGCGAGTGAGAGTGGTGTGCGAGTGAAGAGTGTGTGTGAGAGAGTGAATGAGTGTGTGAGTGAGAGAGTGAATGAGTGTGTGAGTGAGAGAGTGAATGTGTGAGTGAGAGAGTGAATGAGTGTGTGAGTGAGAGAGTGAATGAGTGAGTGAGAGAGTGATGAGTGAGAGAGAGTGAATGAGTGTGTGAGAGAGTGAATGAGTGTGAGTGAGAGAGTGAATGAGTGTGAGAGAGAGAGTGAATGAGTGTGAGAGAGAGAGTGTGAGTGTGAGTGAGAGAGTGAATGAGTGTGAGTGAGAGAGTGAATGAGTGTGAGTGAGTGAATGAGTGAGAGAGTGAATGAGTGTGAGTGAGAGAGTGAATGAGTGTGAGTGAGAGAGTGAATGAGTGTGAGTGAGAGAGTGAATGAGTTTGTTAAGGAGAGAGAGTGAATGAGTTTGTGAGAGAGAGAGTGAATGAGTGTGTGAGTGAGAGAGTGAATGAGTGTGTGAGTAAGAGTGAATGAGTGTGTGTGTGTGTGTGTATGCGTGTATTCTATGTATGTATGTATGTGTGTGGCATCATGTGTAGGATGATGTCAGGCTGTTAGAGAAACGTTAATCCGCCGTGCCTGCCCGACGGAGAAAGTCCTCCTGGCTGCTTGCACATCACCTGCCCGCAGTAATGGCTTTGCTTGCCCCTTCCTTTGTCGTCCTCCCAACGCCCCCATTCCCCTTTTCCCTCCGACTTGTACCTTTTCTCTTTCGCCATAATTCTCTCTCAAGAAATGATGATCACGTTCTTAACATGTTCCGCGTGTTGCTACGCCACTCGGTGATGTTGGGTCTGTTTTTCTCTGCTGGTTGATGGGGCTTTACAGCAGTGACATGACACCGTTCCTGTCCATGCGTGCTGCGCCGAGGATGTGTGTGCAGCTGCACGCAGGTGATGCCAGCGGCTCGGAGGTGGAGGCAGCGCCAGCGAGACAGGAGCATGTGCAGACAATCAAGTATTTAACCCTGGGG